AGACGGACTGGACTTCAGCTTTTCATGTAGCCCCAATATTTGCAATAGACATTACAATAAGAGGAAAGCAGGGGTTCTGTGGAAAGAAGCTGAATATTAGCCTTTCTTAAATTTTCTAATTTGACATCGTAATGCTTTTAGGAAAGTTTCTTGTATTTTCTGTGTCGATTAACGTACTTGAAGGTTTGAAGATGTCTTTAATGTAGATGGTAATAAAAGGGCACGCACAATGTGCTGAGGCGTGCCAGCAAGTGCAGAATATGCAGTACTTGAGAAAAGATCAAACAGTTACTGAATTCGAAATAAAAATGTGGTGAAAACAGGTGATAAAGTTCCCATACACCAGATACAGTTACTGACAATAATGTAACCCTGGATCATCTACCAAACCATTCATAGGAAAAGTAAAACTACTAGTGGTCTGAAAAGCTGCATTGTTAAAGAATAGAATCAACTTCTGCAGGAGGAATGTGCCACCTGCTTTAAGTGCTTTATTATGTTAGTTTCTAGAAAAAAGAGAAAAGTCTTTTAAGTCTGGTCATGTGTCTTTGTAAATAGATGAGTCAAAATACCTTCTGTGCATTGAGCATTGAAGAATAAAAGTGATCATTTCTAAGTGTATAAAATGTAATTGCTCATTCTCAGTGCCTGCAAATGTGTGACTGGGTATTTTGCAACATATTGTGTTAAACTCAAGTTGAAAGAAAAAGGAAGCTATTACAAATAAAATAATTCATTACTTTTGAAGAGGATATACCAAAATGATACATGCGTGTTTCAGTGTGTCAACAGAGTGCATGTGTGATTGTCTTCTGTACTCTTTATTTTAGGGATAATTAAAGGACCTGTGGTTTTATGCTATGCAAATAACCGTGTAAAGCAGATAGTAAAAGCGTTGTTTTTTAAAGCATATGGGCAAGACGCAAATTCAGGCTTACTGCATGGTGCTGCAAAGATTTTTTTGAGKGAGAAAGAGACAAAAATCTGAGAATTTTATTAGATTTAGTGATTGGATGCAATGAATACGAAGAACCTTATGCCTTTTTGTTTTAAATTTGTTTTTGGGGACTTTTACTTGAGGCCATGTAGATCTGAATTAAAAGCCAATAGTCACTAAACTGGCATTCTTTTCTGCAAAAATTAGYTTTCCTTAAGAATCTCTGTCTTCCCAATTTCATACCTTAGATTTCAATTATAAAATTTAAGTTTAGGTAACAACCTTTCTAGATATGGAACTAAGGTGTAATTCTAAGGCTATGTAGCACCCAGCAGTTCTGATTTGTCTTTGGGAAGCACTGAGTCCACAGAATATCCTGAAGAGGGGCTAATATGTGGCAAACTGAACATGTGCAATGTGTTTGTGAATATGTTCATTTAGATTCTTAAGTAAATCATTCCTAACTCTTAAAATCAGCACCCTGTAGCTGTTATGGACCTCATTTACTGTTTGGAGAAGCAAGGTCAATATAGGACCATGAAGTTTTGTCTTGGAGAATATTTTGTTGCCTACTCTCTACTTTGGCTGATAGAGCTTTTGATCCTCTCTGCTTTCCTGACTGCCATCAGGGAGATCCTGTACTTTGCTAATAGCAACAGTAGCTTTAAATACCCTACAATACTCTCTTGTGAGAGAAAATCTACATTGAATCTAAAAAGTAAAACAAACTTATTTTCCTCTCTCTTTTATCTATATGCTTCTTTCATCAGCAAATATTGAAGGAAATATTTCCTTCTTACTGAAGGAAATCAGTAAACCTGTCAATTAAGAATTGTATGCAAAATATGTAATCTAAAATTTTGGTAATTCTTCAGTTTACAGTGGAAACAAAGCATAGTTTCCAGACTGCAAAGCAACATTTTTTTAGACCTTATATTGAGCACCAGATAACTATTTGTATTGCTCAAACATGTATGTTAAGGTCTGAGTAAGGATTTTGGTGTGTAGGGTGGGCCGTGAGTAACTAAGCAATTGGAGGGCAAGAGACATCAGCATCGAAAACCCAGTGAGGGTCAAAGGGTGTGAAATTCATGGAGGAATTCAGTGGGAATCCAGGGTGTAAGAAAACACCAAATAGTTACGAGCAATTAGGTTGTAGCAAGACCTGAAGGGAAACTGTGAGCCTTTGAAATAAATAGGTCAGGGTTGTAAAGATATATCACTGTCTTGTGGTTTTGCTAGGTGGTTAAAGTATGAGTTGGTAAATATCCTGTGAAACCACTTTTAACTTGCCTCAAAAGGTAATTGTTGTTTACAGTATCTTCTTTAATGTTTTTGTTTTTCTGGAAGTAAGAACCTGTGTTTTGGAGCCAAATAAAGATTATGGGCACAGATTGAATTCCTTTCTTTGTAACCTTCTAACTACCTGCTGCACCTTTTCTTTTCAAGTTGCTTTTTGGAATCTGAATTGCAGTCCACTTACTAAATGAAATGGGTTACTTACAGAAACTGTAACTAGTCAGACATCCTAAATCCGTGTCAGAGCTGTTCCAGAGGATGTTGAGTGGCTTTTAAAAATCCTATTAAAAGATTTTATTTGTGGATGGTACAGCGAGGATAAAGAAAACACACCTCATGCGTCTTATTGCTGCCTCTTCTGTCAAGGGCAGTTTACTCTTAGGATGCAGTTACATCTGAAATTTGTCTCTGCAGTTTGTAAATAAAACTAAATCTCTTGTGAATCCAGGGTTCTTGGAGTGAATTTAGGAATACTGCACATGAAGCTTTATGCATTTTCTGCAGTTCTGATTATGCTAATTATAACAATATAAATGTCACAGTCTTGCTGTAAATGTTAAGTTTGAACAGTGTGTGTGTTCTAACTGTGAACTTGCCAGGATCAGAAGACAGTTTTATTGAATGAGCGTAATAGAGTGCATAATGTGACCTTTTAACACCTCTCCCTAGTGATTAATGAGTAAAATAAAAAGAAGCTTGACTCTTCAGAGCCTACAGTGAATTTATGCAACTGGAATTTAAAGTATTATGTGGGGCTTTCCTAATATAAAACTACAAACRTGTCATGGAATTCCCTAATGCAAAGTCCTATGCTTAGAAAATTGTGCTTTTTGATGTGATATTGTCGTAACTGCAACCAAAGGAACTTACCAAACTAAACTGGAGCTGATGGCACCTTGACTTCAGAATGTTCTTTGTTCCTCCTAATTCTTGCATGTAAACAGAACATGTGGTAGGCATTGTCAATATAGCAAGTTCAATATGTACGCAGATAGTATTTTATTATTTTTCCTGTGTAGCTTTTCAGACGCTGGGAGTTTTTTGTTTCCTTTTTTCTTTTTTTTTTTTTTTTTTTATAAGACGACATCCGAGATTTTTTTGTTTCTGTAGTTCAGTCTTCTGCACTGCTGAATATGTGGCCACAGCTAATAAAACAAATACCAGGCCTAAGATATTATAATAGTACAGGTCTTTTGAGTTGTACTTTTTTTTTTTTTTTTTTAAACTTTAAATTGTGATAGTGTTTTCCTGCATATTGTCTAGTTGTTTTGTCTGAGCTCAAACTCCAGCTGAGTAGGATTGGTTCCCAGAGAGATTTTCTCTCTCACCCTTCACAGATTAGAGGTTTTGTACATGCAGTTTAGACTAGTACAAGAAAACCTTAAAAAATTAGTAAGAAATTACCAGTGCAGTGAAACTTAAGACTACAACTACAGTTTTCATGAATTTTAACTCAGGGGGCAAGGTACATACAGGATTTCATTTGTGTTGTGTCTAGCTTGTATTTTTTCTAATGGCATTGTACATAAAAGTTACTTTCTTACTAAGAGCGAAGTCATAGATACCCAAAAGCAATTCAGTAACTTCACAAAACTTACTTATTGCTGTATTTTTGATACATTTTTTTAAATTACAAGAATAGGTGTTAGAGATGTCTGGAAGTGGTTGGATGGAGTGACAGTACTGAATTAAGAGAAAAGATGTTGACATTAGCTATCTTATAAACTAAGTCTTCCAGATGCTTCAAAGGCTTGAATGAAGAAAATAGGTAAAAATCAATGGATTATCCTTTCTGRTTTTATCTTGGAGAGAGATTCTGTATCCTTACCACATTAATCTCCTTTTCCTCTCCAAGTACAAAGGTAATATGCATATTTAGGATCCTTGTAGAAATATATGAATAGTGTAGGCGTCTGAAAAGTAATTAAAAGTTTTTGTCTRTGAAATGTAAGTAGCTCTAATTAAAAATTTCATTACAATTACCATTTTTGTAGTACAGTGGCTAGTATTCATTCTTGTCTTAAAACCTTTTCTAGATGGCTGAATGATCATTTCTAATAGACTTTCTTTATCAATGTAAACACACATAAGTTTTATGTCATAAGCAGTACACTATTTGAATTGCTTATAACAACCTCTTTATACTTAGCAGTAGAGCCTCCTTATTTCAGTGCTTTGAATTTGTAATTACAAAATTTTTCTTTCTGGCTCCTAAGCAATACTCATCCAGGATTTCTTTGCTGAAGTGTTTGACTCTGTAGCCTGTGGGCAGACAGCGAACTATTARCAGCATCTTATTTCATCCCTTCTGTATGCACTAGTCTTTCTAATATTGCCAGTAATATTTTAGAACTTACAAGCTTTTGCAAAGTTTAACATTTTATCATTCTTGGAAAGCAGATAATGAAAGATAGCCATGGAAGAGTGCAATAACAGCTATTACTACTCATGTAGTATGTCTGTAGCTTCTCTTTTCTYATAAAACTAGGAAAATTAGCGAAATGAACCTTTACTGTTCCTTTATTATTTATCTACTTTCTGGATAAATAATTTTTGTTAATCTAGCTTCTAGTGTATAGACTTCTCAAATACCTTTCATGACATGTTTTAGATAAACTTTTTCAGGTATGTCTGAGTTTAAAGATAACTTCTGCTCTATGTTAATGCCCTGGAAAACCATTTTCTGCATTTTTTTCCCTTTATGGGTAGAAGACACTAAATTGAGTAAACATTGTTTAACCTCATCTCTCTCTCCTCACCCAAGAGTTCCAAGCGAGAGTGGAAACCATTGGAAGAACACAGCTGCACAGATGTGCCATGGCTACTTCTATTTATCATCTTCTGCATAGGAATGGTGAGTAAAATGCACAGAATTCTGTGAATGTTATGTAATTGGAGAGTTTATATTCATTAGAAAAAAAGTTTTTTAAAAATAGCGTGTTTATTAACTTAGTCAACGTCAGGGTATATTAATGGAGGAGTTGACAGCTATGAAACAAGAAAATGTTTTATTTTTATAGCGTGTACAGATAAAAGCCCCCACAGAGGGATTCAGAAGATTCAGGAGTTGTTGTTTGTACTACTACTTGATCCAGCACCTATTCCCCCGAACCATCAGTTTCATTTATGAAGTGATTTCTGGTGATACAGAAACAGTTGTCTTCTGTTTTTTATGGAACTGCAGGTGTCCTGAAAATTGCAGCTTTCAGCCTGGTAAACATTTGTGTTAATAGCAATGGACCTATAGGTCAGAAACAAAGATTTTAAGCATCAAACTGCTGACCTTTTTCTACTTGAATGCTCAGTAAAAGCACCTCCTGTTAACAAGCTTATTCCCAATGGTAAAGTGCTTCCCATTCCATCCGAGATATCCCTTCCTTGTGTGTTGAAAATCTAACCTTTCTCAAGATAACAATAAAATGCATTTTATGTTAAAAAACAAACAAGCTCCCAGGACCTACGGGGTAGTGAAACTGGAAGGTCCTAGTTTCTTTTTGTCTTGTATTGTTTAATGTTGACATATGTATGTTGTTTTTCCTAAATGTAGAATGTCTGTCACTGTCTTATACTGAAGTTTTACAAATTGCAGGTCTAAGAAGGTCTAAAGAATTTATGATTTATATGCTATCAGCTTTCTTCCTCTTTCTCATTTCATCGAAGTGTTTTTCACTGACCGTGCTTTCAATGCAAGATGTTAATGTTTTGCTTAAATCTTATTATGTTCTCACAATTATGACATATAATGCATGGTATTTCATAAAAAATGCAGTCTTTCTGGTTGTGTTTTTCCTGCCATTTTTGCTGATGTTCTGTAGTAATGCAGTCTATACCTACCTGTAGCCCGTAATTATATATTTTTCTGCTGTGAGTTAGTCTTCCAGATTTCCTTGGTCTAAGCAGTATAAACATGCAGAGCATACTTGGTCAAGTACAATGGCCCTTACTGTCCTAGATTACTTCATTTGACAGATTGGTTAGTGCCATGGGCCAGGTGGTTGTGATAGTATCGTTTGGAAAAGATTAGAAGGGAGAGGAATTGCATGGTTTCCCTCTATACTCTGTAAGAAAAGAGTTCTTGAACAAGTTGAGAATACGAGTACTACTGTACATAAAATGCAAAGAAGCATGTCCTTTACAGGGATCCAAGGAAATGAAAATGAGTGCTGAAAATCTTCTTTGATTATTACTTGTGCCTTTTGCTCCCTCTGCTTTCATTTGCTTTCACTTTGAGTATTAAGTCTATAATTAYGTTAGAACATTGGCAAGAAAAAGATAATAACCAGCTTATTTGGAATGTCTCTACAGTGGTAACTTACTCTTGGGTACTTCCACCCTCAAATGTCCTCTTGAATTTTCAGACCTTTGAAACCACCCACATTTTGACTATTCCAAGCTGATCATTACTTGCTGTCGTCATCTTGTACAATCCTGTTGCTACCATCTGTTGCTCCACACATTTGTCTCAGGCATTCTACTCTGCCTCTCAAATCTTAGCTTGCAGTTATCTATAAAAGCAGTTCACTGAGGGTACTGGAGGCAGCTTGCAATTTATTTCTCCCTGTTAGTGGTATTGCTAGGGAGCTACTGGTATTTTGAGGGTGAGTTCTGCTAGGCACCTCATTACTCTGGTTTTGCTAGATCTTTGAGAGTTTATAGTGAGATGTACCTGACATGGGGCATTTCCCATATTGTTCAGTAAATGGCCTTCTCCATTCTCTTCTTGCTTATTTCTTTTCTTTCCTGCATTTAAGCTCCAGAGTATGAAAGCTCAATGTCTTTGACCTGGCCACTTCCTTCTTTTGCTTTAGGGGATTTCCTTAAAAGGCATTTGTATCAGATAGACATATTCATTATAGCTCAACTTTGTGAGCACTTACTTTGAATGAAAATAAAAAGTATAAAGCAGGAAAATCTAAACTTTCTGGAATCATACTAGACGCATACCAATCCTTAACAATTCTGTCTCTGCTTATAGCTCTCCTTCCCCGCCTGCCCTTGCCCATCACTTATCCATCAACTCATTAAGATAGGATGACTCTCAAAACATACCTAAAAGATTCTTAGCTCTGCTTAGGTAATACATAATGTCAGAGGTCTGAATTCTTGGTTTGCCTTCTATTTAAATTCATAATTTCACAGTCTTTTTCAGTGGATTGTCCTTGTATTTCCTTTTCTGAATGAAAGCATTTTTTTTGAAGAGCTGTGCTTAGAAACAAATGAATTCAGATGACCTTTTCTTAATGATAAAGTATTGCTAAACCATATTTTTTCTTTTCTCCAGGGTTTTATTTGTGGCTATTCAATAGCTACAGGAGCAGCTGCAAGACTGCTGTCAGGATATGACAGTTATGGAAATATCTGTGGACAGAAAAATGCCAAGGTAGAGGGAATAGTCAACAGTGGTTTGGACCTCACACATAAGAAGTAAGTATGAGTATGATTCCATTGCCTCATTCTGCAGGCTAGGAGAGGCAAAGTCTTTCTTTTTCCGGAAGAGGTTTGCAAGAAAATGAGAAAAGAAATATATTAACTTACCTTGTTGTTCTTTGTCCACTCCTGTCACCTAAGTAACAACAGGGGTCCTGTAGAAGGCATATGGATAGATGTATAATTGAAGACAGCTATGTCATTGAGAAATTTTCCTTCTTAATATTAGTGTTATTGTGGGAAACTCTATCAGTCCAAGAAAGAACTTGGATAGTTAGGATTTTAGGTATGAGAAGTATTCTCAAGGCCTCTAAGATGTCCATTAATGTAGAAATTGTTTTGATTTTATTTCCTGAGGTGGATCGAGAACTG